CCAACCTCCCTTTCCCCTGCCTATACTCTTCCACCGACCCTGTCAGAGCGGTAACCGCAACACAAAACGCGCTGCCAATGCGCCCGCGGGCCTTGGCAACTTGGGATTGATATAGAGCTTGGGTGCGGGTGCGGGCGGGGGCGGGGGCGGAAGCGGGCTTGAGGCCGTTGCGGACGCTGCCAACTAGTACGCGATATATTGATGTGCACAAAATATGCCAAATATCAGTGAGAGGGGGACGGCGTGTGCGGTCGCGTAGTTGTGCAGCAATTGCAACAAGGATGCCCGCCCATGCACTTTACATGTGTATGAATTGTGCCCTGTGTGCACGAGTGTGTGTTTGTGTGTATTTGTGTGTGTGCAAGTTGCCAAATCAAGCGCAAGCCCAAAAGTAGCAACAAATAAAATTTTATGCGCTCTGCAAAAAAGTTTTTCTTTTGCATAATGCCAGCAACAACAACAATAACAAAAACAACAACAACCAACAGCAATGGCAATTTTCATGCACAATGCAAAAGTTTCGATTTTATTGTTAGAGTGCGAGTAGCTAAACGAGTGCCTGCCGACGGGCTGGGTCTGTGTGTGTGTGTGTGTGTGTGTGTATGGCTGGTGGGTTAAAAGGCGCTGCTTAAGGGGGCGGGGGCTTGTATACGCTGTCTGTTTTCTGTTTGTTTTACATTTGACAGCAGCAGCCGTTGTTGCTGCCGTTGCCGTTGCCGCTGCCCGTGCCTCATGGAGAGCCAAAATGTGTGTTTTGTGTACTTTGCGATAATGCAATGCGACGCCAGCGTCAACGTCTACGTCAACTTCAACGTCAGCGTCAGCATAAGCGCGTCCAAAAGTCAAAAATTGTTGCAAATACCATTTATTGTATTTACAGCGCTCGCAATGTGCATAAATGTTGCACAGCAGCGCAGACCCAGCTGGCGGTCGCGTTACGCATACGCCGCGTTGTGCGCCGCCAAGCCAACCAAAGGGCTCACAAATTTTGATGGCGCTGCTGATGGCGCACTTTGCAGGCTCAAGATGACATCTCTGTACGTCAAACGAATGTGCGAAAAGTCTATGCGGAAATTATTGCAAATATAATAAGAAAAAGTAACAGAATTATTTTGACGTAAGTAAATTCAGCTAGAAATTCATATTCAAATGCGAACTATTAGAAATATATATAATTTATAAAAGACGCTGATAATATAAACTGAAAAGCAATCATTTATTATGCTAGAGAGAGAGAGAGAGAAAGAGAGAGAGAGAGAGAGAGAATCAAAAGTCTTTCTAGCGATCTTTCTTGGCAAATCAACAAGGTTTTTCAAATAATGTATCCTTGATAAACTCTTTATCTTGCTTCCGTTGCGCCCACGTTTAGGTTGTTCAATACATAAATTGGTTAGATTCAACTGCAAACTGTAATGCGATACACTCCGATGATCAATAATCATCTGCGAGTCTTTTGGCAAATTACGTTTGAGCCGTAATCACATTAGATAAGGCAATTGTGGGTGGCCTTTGCCTGGCAGAGTGAATTAGAATACAATCACCGAGAGATAGAGATAGAGATAGAGAGAGAGAGAGAGTGAGAGGGAGAGAGAGAGAGAGAGAGAGAGTAGTTCTATCTATCTATAGACCAATTCATATTAAAGTTAACTTAACTCATTTGTTTGCCAGCCACGACCCCAACACCAACCCAACGCTCAATGCTTTCCGGGCAAACAAATCGCTAGCAATTTAAAGCGTGCTGCCAAGCAACCAACTTGATACTTATGCAGAGCAGCTGCGTGGCAGGGAGGGGGCAGTGGCATGAAGGGGGGCACAAAGGGGGGGCCGGGGGTTTGGGGAATGTGTGCTAATGTAGTTTATGCCCACAATTTAGCATTTCGAACGCACGCAGCTGCAGTGAATCGCATAGGTTCGCCTAATTTGCATATTGTCGGATGCAATTGCATTACAGAGCGTACAAAGCGGGGGTTGGCTGGCTGGCGGGGGTTGGGGATGTGGGGAAGCGGGAGGTGGCGCCATCTAATCAATTGGCTGTTGTTGTGCGTTAATGAAATGAACCGTTTCATCTGGCCAAAGAGCAGCTGGCTGAACACACCAAGCATATCTATAAAAACGAAGTGACTGGACGAAAGTCTAGACTTTTGCCATAGTGCAAACAGCTCACTAATTACTCTGCATATGAAAATGTAATTATGTATGTTGAATATAAGTAAACATGTGGCAAGCAGCCACAAAGAGCTGCAGAGTCGAGGTTAGACCACTGACAGCAACAGCAACAGCAGTAGCAGCAGGAACAGCAACAAGCTGGCAGGCAGCAGGCGAGGCACAAGCTTCCAAGCTGTCCAAGGTGGCAATTATTTAAGAACCTGAAACGGCACACTGTGCAACATAATTAAATACATGCTTAACATGCCCTGTCTTGCCGAAACTCTAACGCCAACTCTACACTCAACCCGCCCCGATCAGCTGCACCTCAGCAACTCAGCAGCTGGACGTGTTAATTTTTAAATGAAATACTGAAAATTAAAACAGAATTATGTGGTATCTCAATGGGTAGCAGGAAATTTAGAAAATTTTATGATCTGATTAAAGCTTAAAAAAAACATGATATTTGTATATCAAAACTTGAATTTCATGCCTTAAATAAAACTCTTTGCACTCAAAGCGCAAATCTAGATTAAGCTTAAGCGTTTATTAAAAGGAAGAGGAAAATATTAAATAAATTTTCACTTTACTAAAATTCAATCAAGTTTAAAAATTTAATGGTATTTTATTTTATTTATAGCCTGAAGAAGAATATTTATGAAACTTTGCGCAATTATTAAGCTACGACTAGAAATCTTCCAATCAAAAGACAAATATTGATTATATAAAATTTTATTTTATTGAAAACGGAATTTTTTCTCCCAAGTAGAGCAAAAGCAGCTTTGGCTTTTGCGCTGCAGAGTGAAGTCCATGAGTGCCACGCCCCGCGCAGCCTTTGCGTTGCCAACGGTGGAACTTAAGTATTAGCAGACCTTGTGACAGTTTAAATTTCCAAAGCGACATTCTCTGTAGTTGTTGCGGTTGCATATTTCTCATAATTTTCATTTTTTATTTTCTGCTTCTTTTTTTTGTGCTGGCGGAAACACAACGAACTGCCAAATGGCCAGCGCAAAGCGGAAGAAAAACTAAAACAAATGTCAGTCGTAGTTGACGCGTAGCCACCGACCAACCGAGCAGCGCGCCACTTGGTGCACCAACTCACACCCAACCCGCTCCGACGGCAGCTTCAGGCAGCCAGCGAAATGCAAATGTCATTTGCAGTTGACACTTGACTCAGCACTTCGCACTGTCCTAGGGCACTTTGGGGTTTTCACCTGCGACGGCTGCTGCTCCAGCGCCAGCTACAGCATCCAGTTGCTGGCACAATGGTCGCTACACACCCGCACCACATAAAGAGGTTAAATAAAAAAGGAGCAGAGGTGGATGAAAAAAAAACGGCTACTAAAGTCAGCTGAACAGGAACAAAGTCGTGGCCCCATTGGGGAAAGCGGCAGCTGGCGCGTCCACGTTGTCGTCTTTATGGAGCGTTCTCGTGGTCGTCATTAGGAGGGCATGCGTCAAAGTATGCGCTTTGTTGTTGCTGCCACTGCTGCGTGTTAATAGCCCCCCAACCGTGGTAGACGCCGACATTTGCATGACTTGACACACGAGGCGGCGCCAGTAGGGCGGGGCAAGTCAAGTGTTGCGTCTGACGTGCGAGGCGAAAGTGAGTGAGAGTTTGTGCATGAATTGAATGCAGTTGCATTTAATGTGAAGCAGAGTGGGGATACTTAAAGCTGATCAAGAATTCGCCTATGAGCCTTAATTATATAGTTTGAAAATTTAACCAAATTAATTAAAATTCAAAAGTCTAGTTTAAAGATTTTATTAATTTTCTTGATTTTACTTTACATAGCAAGAGATTTCAATTGTTTGACGCGGCGTATGATTAATAAATAAGCGCTACTTATAAGACGACGCGTTGGCCATTTTTTGAACTAGCGAAAGCTTTCTTCGCAGCTTTTGCATATGCCTGATTAATTCAAACAATAGATGGCGCGTTTGTTGCCAATTAAGAATAACAATAAAATGTGATAGCTGCTTTCTCTTATTACCAAATATTTGTAATTGCTCCAAAAAATTAAAAAAACTTTAACAATGGAAAAAAATATAATAGTTAAATAAAAATGTCATTTAACATTTTTTTAATTGATAACAAATATCAATTAAAAGGAATCCCCACTAACAGATAAAAAAATGCCTTTTAAATTTATTTACATTTCTTATCTTATCACATACGTAAATATCTAAAACTACAGAACTCGCCTTCCTAATTTGCAGTAACAATAGAAATATAATAACAAGATTCACAATAAATACTCAAATACTATAATACTTCTATCAGCCCTAGCCCAAAGGTCATTACAGATGGTATGCATCCAGTTGTAATAATATATGTACATATGTTTCGACTTACAACTGTTTTAGCCGCTGGCCAGCAAAACAGTTCAAATTGGCTGAGATTTATATATTTAAGTGAGGGCCTATTTCCGATACAAATACATTTGCCAACTAATCTGAGAGAGCGCACTCGCAGCGGACACTTTTTTCTATACATATTATATACTGCACCAGCGGATCTGTTGAGTTCAACTTCGGGCAGTCGCTGTTTGGCTTGACAATTGAACGGCACGCAGCTCGCAACCGACTCCGGAAACAGATAAGCTTCGCTTTTGGCTAAACTACGGCGACATGTACACACCGCAGGGAGCGCAGGATCAGACCTCAGGAGAGACAGCGCTGTGGACAGGGCACGGACGTCAAGGCGGCCCCGGCAACCAGGGCCTGAACAATCATACGTTTACTGCATCCTCCACTTCTACGATGACCATGCCGCAGAATATCTTCACAAATCCGGCCATACAGCCCTCCAGCGTGATCAACCTATCCAATTCCACAGACGTGGTCATTGGGCCCATGACCCAGTATCAGGGACCGGTCAGCATATACTACATGGATGCCAGCATGCAGACAGCTGCAGGTGAGTTGCCAAAAGGTGAGCCTAGCCTAAGAGCAAGTCGAATAATGTTCAAAATATGCCAAATATTTATGGAGTTCCTCTAGCAAATTTTCAATGCTAAGTGTACAATAAAGTTCATCGAGAATTCATTTGAATACTATAAATACCTTTATTGCGGAAAGTTCAAAAAAGCTTTTTTTTATATTGTATGCAACAATTTGCATAACTTAACAGACCTTTATGCATTTTAAGTGCCCATTTAAAATTGTGGGAGGATCGCAACCAAACAGTTCACATAGGTGAATGGCTTAAGCGAAAGCTTTATTTCATACCCTTAGGAGGGGGAATATAATTTTTAGGCAAAAGTTGTAACGCTTAATGTTGGAATAGAGCGAAAAGCCAAATATAATTATTTATAAACAAAAGTTAAGTATATGTAGAAAAAGGTCTGTCAAAAATTGCTCTATTGTATACATTTTTAGTTTTTTGTTAGCTTATAATTTATGTTTATAAATTATTCAACTATATCCGATTGCTATTCTCAAATGTGTTTGTATATTTGCTCGAAAAGCGATTTCTGCCTGGGTTTTTTTCTTTCTCATATCTTGTGCACCCTATAGGCAGCTATTCAGTCTTGTTTTTATAGAGTTGCATGAAAAGATCCATTTATCTAAGTGGAAAGTCAACTTTGAACAGCGCCAACTAGTTGATATGTGCCAACACCCGGTTCCAGGTAATACAGCTGTACAAATACATGCAGAGCACCTTCACAAACACTCTGATATGACCCATAACACGAGCTAATGCCGAGATATTCCCAATACAAACACACTGTGTGAGCGGCCCAACAGAAGCGCATTTCGAATGCCAAGCGCCGCGCAGTGCGCATACGTCATGTTGTCTGGCGACGCGCGCCGCAATTAAAAACAGACTCGCAAAAATTAAAAACAAAAAGAGACAATAAAGAAACAAAGAAAAAAGCACAGAGAATGAGCATTGAGCAATGAGCAACAAAAGTGCAAAACAAAAAAATAGGTAGCAGAAAACACAAGAGTGTAAACGATATGGCAAATCCGGCAAACAACAACAAAGCCCGGCAAAGCATGACGCAGCCAGCGAAGTCGCACTTAAACATGTCAACCCAAGCGCTTGTAGGGCAGCGCAGGGCAAGAAGTGTCCACTTGGCGAGCTGTCCGATTGCCAGCCAAGCGTCGCGTCGCGACGACGTCGTCGCCAGTTGTTTCAGTCGTTCCAGTGACGGGTTCAGGTGCGGCAGTTGCGCGCGCCAATCGTCCAGCGCTCGTTTATCGGTCAAAGGCGTCTACGTGCCACTGTGGCAACAAGCTCTCCGCATATTCAATTCGCGGCATTTGCGGCTATTTCAACAACAATTGCCGCGAGCATTGATTAACTTAATTTCGCTGCATTAGTCACATATTTGACGCACAAACCACAAATTAGACTTAATTTACTTATGCGTAAGCAAAAAGTTTCTAACAGCAACTAATTAAAAGTGTATTTGTGTGTGTCGATAAGCGTGCATGTGTGCGTGTGTGTTTGTGTGTGTGAGTGAGAGTGTTTGCTTCTGTTATACAAACACTAACCGTTATAATATATATAGAGCAATTGCCCGCCCCGCCCGCATCATGAAGCTGTTGCTAAAAGTACATTCCGAGCGCACCGCTCGCAATCGTCGCACGCCCGACCGCACCTTCACAGCGTCGCCAGCGCCAAGTATGTAGTGTATAAGTCAGAACTAGAGCTGCACACTGCCCGCTTTCCGCTCAGTAATAAATCAATCATTATCATCGTCGTCATTATCCACAGGAATCAACAGCAACAGCGGGAGCAGCAGCAGCAGCAGCACAAGCAGCGACGCGGGCATCGGGGGCAAACGCAACCGCGGCAGCTCCAGGTCGAGGCGTCTGACCCGCAACACGCTGCTGCTGAGCGTGCTCGTCCTTTTGGTCCTTATCACCGCCATTGTCATTGTCTATGTGGAGCTGAGCCGCACGCGTGGCGAGCTGCCGCACAAGTCCATTTACTTTGGCAATACCTATGAGGATGGCACGTGTAAGTGGGCAACAAATGCGACCGCCATAGCCTATTCACATGTTATGCAGTTCCAAATCTAGGAAATGGTCATCTGGTCATCGAACGTGTACAGTGGGGCGCCTCGGATCGCAGCAGGCAGTTGACGATGCCGCTGCAGCGGCCCATACCCTATGTGCTAATCACGCACATCGGCGTGCAGTCGATACCCTGCGTCAATCTCTACAAATGCTCCATCAAAATGCGCACCATACAGGATTCGGCGATTGCGGAGAAGAACCTACCGGATATACAGTCGAATTTTTACGTAAGCAGCCGACATGCACAATTCCCTGCACGTTCCAGCGACTAACACTTTTGGACATTTCGTTTTCCGCTTGCTGCTTACGCAAATTGTGTTGATATTTCGACCAGGTTTCCGATGAGGGCAACATTTATGTGGGTCGCGGCTGGGACTGGGCCAACACGTATGCGAATCACACACTGGCCATCACCTTTATGGGCGACTATGGCCGCTATCAGCCCACCGCCAAGCAGCTGGAGGGCGTGCAATTCCTTTTGGCCCATGCCGTGGCCAATCACAAATTGGATTTGGACTACAAGCTGGTCGCACAGAATCAGGTGAGCACTCTACACCCATTCATCCTACTTGTTTTATCCACCCAACAGCTTAAGAAACTCTAGGAAATATATTGCAGGCATTTTAAGCTAACTATCAAAGCTTAACAAAAGATTTGAGAAGAGAGTACAAATCAGAAATGTTATCTAAGATCAAGTCTGTCCTAATTGAAACTAAAGTATTTCTTTCTTGGGTTTACTTTCATAAAATCTTTTTAAAAATCTTTATAAGAAATATGTACTCTATGAAGATACAGATTCACTTTGAATACAGTTCTTTTATTTTGTTAATTTTTTTTAAACTTTTTGATGGGTTTACGCTTCTTTAGTTACTTAAGATATATATTAAAAATATTTAAAGAATGATGCTTATTAGCTTCAAGATTATGTTTCTCAAGCTGTTTCTAAAATCTCTTGACTACGTGTCTAAATTCTGGCTGATTACCAAGCGTTTCCTACAATATTTTCTGAATTCTGTTTGAAGTTTGTTCTTTAAAGAAATACTTTAAATACTGACAGAGTAATCCTCTTCTTTATAGACCAAAAGCAGCAAGAGTCCCGGCATCAATGTATACCGTGAGATTAGCAAATGGCCGCACTTTTACGGCTGCAACATGGATCAGGCGCCCAAATGTGGCAGCGAGCTGGGCATGACGGCTGCCTCCTGGAACGGTGGGCAATAACTACAGACTTTAAGAGAACTCTTAGCTTTAACACCAATACACACAACACACAACACACACTCGCACACACACACATTACTGCATCTTTATACAAGTAAACCAAATAAAAAAAATCAACGTAAGTTTTCGCTTCTTGTTAAATATTCAGTTATATTTGTTCGGCCTTAAACCGGTTCGAAGGTGTGTGCCTTACAGGTGTTTTATTTATAGAGCACGTCTCCTCAATCTCAGCTCAGACAAAGCTCACTCTCCCAAACTCTATCTCTCTCTCTGTTAGTCTCTCTCTTAAATCTCAAAAGCTGTTTTGTTTATATTGCGCTGCGCTCGAAAGCTGGAAATTCCCAAGCGGGAAACAAAAACCTATCAGCATATAGAGACGGGTTGTATGTAAGTCTATATATGTATATACATATGCATGCGGTTAGTACAACATCATTATCGACAGAACTTGTAGTCATTTTTTTAGTCAGCTTTTTATACATACACACACACACACACTTGCACTATATTGATGCTGTTTAAGTTGTTGTTGTTGTTGTTTGTTGTTGTGTCTGTGAGTTAATTAAAAGCTGTATATCATTTGGAACCATTAAATTTCCACTGATAACTAAAAAGCACAGCAAAAAAACAACAAATAGCAAACCATTATTGCTGGGTAAAACTCAAACTAAATAACGGAAGGCTGGAAGTTTTTACTGAGTCAGATTGAAAAGCTTTTTCAAGTGATCTGCTTGTCTGATTAACTAATGACCTATGTTAACATATGCTCAACCACTTATCAGAGTTTCCCCTACTTCAAAATCAATGCAATGACACAGAGATTAAATCCCAATCTTAAGTGGAATCAACTGATAGTTCACTTTCGGGTACAATTGAACCTTAGCAAAGCCAACCTTAACCAATTTCCTAGTTAAGTGCTCATATTTTATAAATCATCATTGCTAATTGATAAAGGTCACTTTCTTTCGCAAAAACTTTAGCTGTCTAGTCGAATATATTAAAAAATTGCTCACCAAAAACAAACAAAACAATTCGTAGAATTCTTTAGCCCACACTCCGCATAGCATCTGTCGTTGTGCATTTTTGACGTGTGTTTGTGATTTTTTGTTGTTGTTTATAAGTTGTGCAAACAGCGGAGAGAAAAAACGTCTAAATATAATCAAAACGGTAGAGACTTAGCTGGAGAAAGAGCAAAAGCTAGCCGCAAAAAATCATTATAATTTGAGAAATAACTTTAAAAAATTCAAAAAACCCGAAATCAAAAGCAAAGCAACTCCCGCTAAATAACATAAGTAAGACGGAGAACAGGTTCGCACAGGAGACTCAGATCTATAATGAACAGAATCTGAGTTGGGCTCTCCAAATATTTAGGGTTTTCCTTTTGGCCAAGAACCTGTTTGAATGTGGAACAGATGCCAACCAAATGGAAAATCAACTAGGCATAACTTGTTATTGGGCATTAAATTCTAATTATGCCCGCCAAGCAGGTATATATACTAAACTAGAACAAGGCTTAACTATGCATTAAGAAAATTAATTAAGAAATTCTCACAAAAAAGAATGGCTCAGCGCTAACTCAGAAAATATTTTGGAAAATCCCACAGCAGTTGGCCACAGGAAAATAAGCGAATACGCATTTATATATTCAGCTATGGGCGTTTCGAAGAAATTTCCAAAGTCTTGCCGCCTCTCTCGATCGGGCGCTCACTTGCCTGCACACTATCTCACTCTCTCCCACTCGCTCTTACTCTGTTTTACTCTCTGACTGACAGCAGCCGCCAACGCTGTAGGGTATTCGGCTCACTGACTCGCATCGCGATTTGATCGCCGCTCAGTTGATTGGAGCCTCTCGAACGCGTCGCTGCTCGGTGAATTTAATGTGGCATGCGCTTACCTTAAAAATATATATAAACCACATATATAGTATTTATACGTATAGTATACAACCTTTGTTTAAAAACATCAACCAAAATATTACGTCGCTAACGTTTTGTAATAGTTGTTGATAAGTTGGTCTGAATTGACTTTTGTGCACATTTATTCGCCGTTGTTCCGTCGGAAATCGGCGCACGGATGCCTTAAATTGACGGTAATCAAGCGTATAAAATAAAGTTAGTAGCGCAAGCACAATAAATTAAGCGCATTATATTTTACGGAAGCAGCGAAACATGTTTTAGAGAGTGTGGAGAAAAAAATATGAATTGAAAATAATTACAACAAAACAAATGCCAAAAGAAAAAGTATAAAAATTTCAAAGAAAAAGTGCATAAAAAGAAACAAAGATCAAAGCTGAAATAAACTAGTGTTGGAAAGTGTTAAAACAAGAAAAGGATTATACGTATGAATATACAAAACTAATCAAATAATTAACGACCCATAACTGAAGCAGTGTGCATATAAATTATCAAGACGAAAGAGGCGCAAATAAACCAAGTCATAAAAAAATAAATAAAAGTTAAAAACACGATTCATTTGCGCCAAGCAATTCCCATTCAATGATAATTGTTAAAACACATGAAACAGTCAAGCAAAACTTGGTAATTGCAGTGTTGTTGTTGCTGTTCTTTTTTTTTCGTTGTTGTCTAACACAGACACAGGCACACACAAACACACCCAGAGAACAGTTGCTGCATGTGTATAAGTGACAATGGCCGCCGCTTAAATGCCGGTTTGCGTGTATTGGTGCGCTCAGAGACGCAACGCGATGTCTCCGTGCGCTCGTTATTCTTGTTGTTGTTTTAGTCGTGTAGTTGTTATCTGGAAAGTGCGCTCAGTGCGAATTTTACGTGAGCGACTACGACTGCCTTATCGCACGCTGCCCGAAGGCCCAGCTGAGCCCTCATTTTATTGCTTCATTCTGGGAATGCATCGATTTCGCAATGAAAGAATTTGATTGTTGGCCCACTTCCACCTGGAGGGTGGAAGACCAAATGCTCCAAATCAATCAATAACTTGGTGACCTTGGTTTACGATGGTCCAAGATATCAACTCGTACTTGCAATTTGAGCTTTGCTCTTCGCATTAAATTATAGCCAAAGCCTTTTAAGTGGGCAGCTAAATTCTCGGAATGCATTTTACAAGCTCAAAGCGTAAATGATTATTATTAGCATAAGTCATGCGCAATAACAGCGCCTTTCGTCTGGACTGATCGCTAAGTCACCGAAAGGCACAACCAGCCGACTGGAAATATACCCTTTCATTCATTTGACGCATGACTTTGCAATAGTTAAACATATATTAAAACACATTTTTAATTATATAAATTAAAACATTTTTTATACTGCATTAATTTAGTAGGGCCAACTTATTACAGTTTTTAACTTGAAGATTAGCATAAATGGTAGGAATTGTCATTGAGAATGCATTTGATGGCGAATAATTGAACTAAACAATATGTGAATCAGCTCCAAATCAAGAAATATAAAATGATCAATTCATAATCACTTAGAGTTTTAATTGCTCATAACCTGAAGCCGGTTTCTTGAGCATTCGAATTGCATTTGAATTGTAAGCATTTGCTGCTTACCAGACAATATAAATCAAACAAGCCTGTCTGTTTATTAATTTTATAACCACAAATTACGCACTGACACTGAATTACATCTGCATATCATTTACATATTCATATAATATATATAGACATATATATATTTCCACCTGACCTCATTTGCTTATCAATAATACAAACAAATTTAAGCAAACCTTAAAACCTTTACAAGCTGCAACCATATAGGAAGTGAAAATAAAACAATGATCAAACCAAACGTCAATTAATAAATGAAAAATTTGTCTGAGCATAAAAAGACAGAAATTTTTAATGAAATAAAATTGCAAAAGTTGATACAATTTTAAAGTAATTAAAAAATGCATTAAACGCTGCAAAGATAATATGAAAAGATAAAAAATAAAACACTGACTGTTGAAATTTATCGTTTGGCGCAGTCATTATCAACAATTCAAGTGAAAAAGTATATTTACTTTCAGATGCTCATGATGTGATGTTTGCCTAGAGAGCAGGCCGGGCCACCAAAAACATCAAAACGTTGCGAACAAGTTACTCAGTCAAAATGTTTCGACAGCGATGCAACAGGTTCTGAAAGTAGCACCCAGGGTTCCAAAAGAGTAAACGTTACAAAACACAAGCAATCACAAATAACGGAAACCAAACAGTGCCAAAAATGTATTGCGACAATGGAACGGAGTTAGGCACGAGCACAAATTTAAATACACACATCATAAATCGAAGCAGCGGCAAGAATTGCAGCACATCCTCAACAGATTCGGGCGTCGGTTTGGTTGATAATGCAGTTACATTCAAGGCGGGATCAACGACCAAAGATAGCAATAGCACGACAAGCAGCAAATATGAGGAAACAAAGGAGAAGTTCGAGCCACAGGCGGAGACGGGGGCGGAAGCGAATCCCCAACGTATCAGCATTGAGGTTGAGGCAACAGTAAACCTCAGCAAGCCAGCAGCCAATCGGTCGAAGAAATCATCACCCGCAGTCTCAATACGCAGCACGACGATCTCCATCGTGTCTATCGATGAAAATGCCATCGATTCTAGCTGCATTGACAGCGACTCCGAGGCGGAAGCAGACGAGAGCTGCACGGTGCAAAAACTGGGCCAACAGGTCACCTACCCGCCACACAGTGCCGAGCTGACGCAGCTCAACAAAGGACTAACAGTGATTAGTCGACAGGTGGTGCCCAGCACTGGTGAGGTGCCATCGCCGCCCACAGCACCCGATGTGGTGGCCAAGCAGCTGCTCAATGGCAATCTAAATCTGGCAACGCCAGCAACCCCAGCCTCGCCGCAGCAAATCGGCAGCATTGCCTTAACCAACACTACAGACGTTACTTTTGGTGATAAACACTACTACGAGGGCCCTGTCACGATACAACAGATCCTGATCGATAATCGCGAAAAGTGGAAAACGCTCGATGGTGAATCGGGTGGTCAGGATAATCCCGGTTTTAATCCACAGTCAACGTCAAATGGCAACGCTTCAGGTGAGTTTAGTTGAGAGAGTATTTAAAGTTGGAGAGATAGTATTTTATATATGGTATATTTAACTTTGTTGTCGGTCTGTCTGGTTTTATTTATACTTCGCATTCACCTTGGTTCACATATTTGTTTTGTTTGGCGGTCTGTGGCTAATGCTCAACGCGTGCAAATAATATTTTTTTGTTTACTCAGAGCGTTAACAATATCGCCATAGGGCAGACATTTTGAAAAATGTATGGGCAGCAGAGAATTCGGGTATAGCCACTTTCAGAAAAATGTGTTAAATGCTAGTGAATGGAAAATTAACATTATTCTTATATAGTATTTGTAGCTGTGCTAAAGAGGTTCCGACTCGATTATATATGAGTATAGAAACTGATTTTTTAATAAATTTTGCAATACAAATATATTATAATATAGTAAAATAATAATGTTTGGTACTCGAATTAATAAATTGGTATATACAGCTATAGTTTTTGTAAAGAAAGTCAAGGTCAGTTCAGTAATTATTGGGATTGCGCATACGCATCGTGTGCTGAAGATATTGCGCATACGACCGGTTGCTGTAAATCAGTCAAACGAACGGCATACACAGCCCACTCATGAACAAACAAAAACAATGGCACCTGGCAATTGTTTACTCGAATGCTTCTCACAATTCCCATAATTAAAGATCGAACCAAAGCAACAACTGCAAATAAAATTGAATATGAATTCTAGCTAATTAATTGGCGCAGTCTTGCAAGCCGCACAGTTCAACTAGTTAATGCCACTAAGCTAGTCGGTGTTTCCCCTAAGCTAGGGTATAGAACTCGGATCAAAGTCACGTGCCCTGCCCAGCAGGGGGACTTTTTTTTTATTATTATACAATGTTCATTAATTACTTTCTCCAACACGAAAAACAAGTGCAAATTCTAGCACGCACTTGTTGTATTTACCGTATACTATATAGAGAAAAAAAAAAGAACCGAGCTGTAAGGAATGGCATTTTTATTTTGCTGCGAGTTTTGCAGTAGCTGATGTTCCGTGGTCGCAGAAATGTCGAGGAACGCGTTGAATTACTGTCTTATGTGTCGCGGGCTTGTCAAGCGTGATCTAATCACATGCGATGCTGCATGTGGGCGTGTCTGTCACGCCCATTGCAGTGGCTTAAGCCAGCAGCAGCTGCAGATTATCCAAATTCTTCCCAATATCGTCTGGCGTTGTGATAGCTGCCTTAAACAAACCCAAACCAATCAACAGCTAACTGAAAGGCTGGAACTGTGCGTAAAGCAGCATGAGAAACGTTTGCAAATATTAGAACAGAGCTTAGCGAGGCGTGAGTGTCCGATATATTTATACATTAGTCATATTTTTTGATTAAGTGGCAAAAAGCCTGTGCAACAAGTTGCACGTGCAATTAGCTTATATTTTTTATATTTTTTTTTTTCAGGTGCCAAATTAAATGAGTCCTGCAAGGAGCCTGTGATTTGCCCGTTTCTGCCACATACAATCGGCCGCAAAGCCCTTGTTATAACATCAGCCTTTGCGATTTTAACTTTAGTCTTGATCGTTATACTGGCAACCACCACAAATCTCTTTGGCAAGACGTTAAATAAAAGTAAGCTTGGTGATGGCGACGATTCCAGACAAAATATTCCAATCAATTCAACAATAGGTACAGTTTTGTCGCTTTTCTATGTGTTCGAAAACGCTTTCAATTTAAAATTTGGTGCTTGCAATTGGCGGACTTCCCCTCACATTTTTCTCTTCTATTCTATTCTACTCTAATATTTTATTGTTTTCTATTTCTGTTTAACAAGCGCAAACGCGTACAATTTCATGTTGAAGCTATAAACAAACTACTAAAAAAACGCGTCTTATATTTAAGCGCATCTCCAAATTATCGGTGAATACGGGGAACTGTACTGAGTTTAACAGTGTTGAAAAGTGCTTCAAACTTAAAGTGTGCCCTTAGTTTGATTGAATGGAATATGAAAGTAAATAGTCCTTAGTGTTTGAAATAATAATTAATAATCGTGCCGCAGCTACTCTGGAGATGCTTAGTGTTGAGCAATGGGGTGGACGGCAGCCGAGAAAAGCGCTCACAAACCTTACGTTGCCCGTACATCGTGTCATCATATCGCATACCGCCGCCGAGGGTTGTGAGTCACGGGTAAGCTTATGAGCTCCTCCTAAAGCCACAGGCCAATTCAATTCAACAATATTCCGTTCGTTTTAAGGACGTGTGTGAGGCCCGCGTGCGTGTTGTACAAAACTTCCACATGGACGGATGGAATTGGGATCATATTGGCTACAATTTTCTCGTTGGGGGCGATGGAATGGTCTACGAGGGACGTGGCTGGGATTCTCAGGGGGCACACACGCTGGGCTATAATAGCGATAGCATTGGCATCTCCTTTATTGGCACTTTCATCAAGATTCACCCGACGGACGAACAGCTTCAGGCGTGTAAGCTGCTACTTGAGGAGGGTGTGCGCCTGAAGAAGCTGGTGCCCGATTACAAGCTCTACGGGCATCGGCAGCTGAGCGCCACCGAGAGCCCTGGTGAAATTCTATATAGTATCATACAGACTTGGCCGCATTGGACAAAAAACATACCACATAGTTGATGTATAGAATAATGTGATGATAATAATAATTTGTATTTTTAGTAATTGAATAAAGTTGATAGCTTATTAAATTTATTTTGTTTGTTGTGAGGATCAGTTTATTTTCATGTATTAGTTTCTCTCATGAGCACTTTCACTACACTAAAACTCATGTCACATAAATTTATATCGCGTCTTTCATACCTGTGCCGTTAAAAAAGTGTTGTGCAGTGTTGATCAATCAATTGGCCAAAGCCATGTTGAGTTGAATGGAATATGAAAATATATAGATATACTCGTAAATATCAATATATACTTATGATGCACGTATGTACTTATATATATATATATATACCTACTCTATGCACGCTTCTATACTATATACTCACATTTGTGTGTCTGTATGTGTTGTACAATCACATTCCCTGCCAACTGACCCACTAACCAAGGCCTCTTTGTGCAGCTATCGATGGCAGCGAACTAGTGTTGGTCAGCATTGATGAGTGGGATGGCAGAATGTCGCGTCCGTCTCTCGAGCCCCTAAAACTGCCCGTGGATCGTGTTATTATAGCACACACCGTAACTGAGGGATGTGATACGCTGGTGAGTGCATCTGAATGTGGATTCGTTAGAGGAAACCTGTTTTAACCTAAAATTTATGCTAGGATGTGTGCTCTTATCGCGTACGGGTCATGCAAGCGTATCACATGGACATATTGGACTGGGAGCAGGTCGGCTACAATTTCATGGTGGGCGGCGATGGACGCGTCTATGTGGGTCGCGGCTGGGATTTCATTGGAGCGCATACCATCAAATACAACAGGAGCAGCATTGGCATAGCCTTCATTGGAAGCTTCGATAAGATAAATGCAACGGAGCTGCAGCTGCGGGCCTGCCAGTTGCTCCTTGCGGACGGAGTGCGCCTTAAGAAACTAACGCCGGATTATAAGATCTACGGACATAGGCAGCTGCTGGCCACCCAAAGTCCTGGCGACAAGCTTTACAATATTATCAAGACCTGGCCACACTTTGCAAAGACAACTTAGATTTCCTTTTTTTATTGTTAACAAAGTGTATTATTGTGGTATTTTATTTTAATAAACAATATAAAAACTCAAGTAAAAGGCGGTTTGTTTTGCCACGCCTTCTACATTGCTTCACCCACTTTAACCTTCTATATACTCTACATATATTTGTCTATATGACTAATCATATTATCTTGCACTTATTTTACAGATCAGGACAATATTGGTGGTGGCTTGGTCTTGAGATTTGTGCCGCGCGCTGCTTGGCTGGCCCAGCCACCGCAGAAACAACTACCCGACCTGGCTCTGCCTGTGCCCATGGTCATATTATTGCCCACAAACTCGGAGAACTGCAGCACCCAGGCGCAGTGCGTATTCCGTGTACGCTTCCTCCAGACCTTCGACATTGAGTCGCAGCAGAAAGATGACATAAGCTTCAATTTTCTCATTGGCGGCGATGGCAATGTATATGTGGGCCGAGGCTGGGATGTGGTCGGCGCCCACATGCACGGCTACAATACGCGCAGCCTGAGCCTCGCCTACATTGGCTCCTTTCGGCATCAGCGCCCATCATCGAAGCAGCTCAGCGTCACCCATTTGCTGCTCGAGCGCGGCGTCGAGCTGGGCAAAATATCGTCAAACTATAAGCTGGTGGGTGCCAGCACTTTGGAGCCAACAATTACAGAATATAACGCAGAGCTGTTGTACCAAAGCTTCGCTAATTGGACACACTGGACAACGGCAGCCTAAGCTAGCCAAAAATAATTGAAGTCATGACTGGTTTTTTTTCTCTATTTGATTATGTGGCATATTTCCCTAAGCTAGTAGACGTAAGCTTTCAATACAAAATTGTGATATTATAAAAAACGAAAAAATTATGATGAAATTATTAATAACGAATTATACTCTCTTATTTTTAACTCACCCTAATCGTCAGTTTTGTTCGCTTATATGACAGACGGGTCCGAAATACGTGACTGAGTTCGAAATATTGTTTAGCGCTTGGTTTATAGATCACAGACACAAATGCGGTACAGAATATAATATTAGTTTAGGCTCCACCTACCAGAGAGTCGTGAGAGTAAAAAACACATACAAATATATATGCTAGTCATCGAGTAACAGCTCCAAGAATACCCTAAGCATAGCTAGTAAGACAAGAGGGTTAAAATTTTATATTTAGAGTTTATATTTAAATTCAAACAATGTTTACTTATGCTCTGCCATGAATTATTGTCCGCTGCCCATATTTGGTAACACTCTTTCGTATATATCACTCACTATAAACACCCTTCTTGATGCAAAAATACAGGGTATAGCCATGAACTTTCAAAGCGAACCCCACAATTAAACACGTGCCTTGACAAAAGCTCACTGGCACGCAGCAGCTGCTGTTGCTGCGCACTTCCATGCGGGGATTTTTCTGCAGACAGCAGAAAAAAAAAACAAAAACAAAAAATAACAAATAGCACTCGTAATTTGCGGTTGATCATCAACTCGCTTTGCTCGGATTCAGTTCACAACGGGCAACCGGCTTGACAAGACAACAACGCTGCGATCTCTGGAAATTTTTGTGCGATTGTCGAAATGAAGATCCAACAATCTGCGCCGGGCATCGAAGATCAAGCGCCGAATACAAATGTGAAACAGCTGCACGGTCTAATATGGATGTGCGCCATTCTCTTGATATTGGTAGCCACAGCTGCCGCCTACTTTGTGTGGCTGATGAGTAAGTACTTCTATCTATCCAACAATATTCCCAGCTTATACGATCTCTACATGTGTGTACTCCGCAGGCCAAAACAACGAACTGGCTAGCAATTCTTTACGTATACTCGATCGCAGCGAGTGGCTCGGGGAACCACCGACCGGATTCACGCTGCTAAGAACCCCCGTATCGAATGTAATAATACATCACACCGCCACGGAGGGATGTGATACAGAGGTTTGTACCTTCGAAATTCTAAAAAAATATAACATATTTCATGTCCGGGTTAATCACTTATTTAACTATGCATATTTATAACTTTTTTAAAATTAACTTGTTTACTTGAACTGCGACTTAAATTTATGGATTAAATTCCTTGCAGGACGTGTGCATCTATCGCATGCGCATGATACAGTACTTCCATATGGGCTCCCTTGGCTTTACGGATATTGGATACAACTTTCTGATCGGTGGCGACGGAAAAGTCTATGTGGGCCGCGGCTGGCATGCACAGGGCCAGCACATCAATGGATATGGGCCTGTTTCACTAAGCATTGCTTTTATTGGCACCTTTGGTAATGAGGCGCCACCGGAGCACCAAGTGCGTGCTGCCAAACGACTGATGGATGAGGGCGTACGATTGCATAAGCTGCACCCGGATTATCACATCTATGCACACAGGCAGTTGAGGCCTACTGAGAGTCCCGGCCAGAAACTGTTTGAGCTGATGCAGCACTGGCCACGCTGGACCGAAGACGTGACCGCGCGTAAGCTCCATCTATCTCTTGTCTAAGCCGTAAAGCCAACGATTTGTTTCAGTACGCAGACTCAACAACGCGCCGCTTAGGTTTGTTGCACGTGCTGCTTGGCTAGCCCAGCCAGCTTTGGAAGCGCTGCCCCCCTTGACGCTGCCTGCCAAAAACGTACGCTTTGTGAGCACCTCAACAGAGTCCTGCGACACGCAAGCATCGTGCACCTTTAGAATGCGCTACCTGCAAACCTTGCACATTGAGAGTTTGGACAAACAGGACATCAACTACAACTTTGTGGTGGGCGGCGATGGCAGTGTTTATGTGGCCAGGGGCTGGGACGCCAGCTGTGAGGCGGCATCCACAGATGAGCCGCCATTCAATGGACTCATTGTGGGCTTTTTGGGCATGTCCGAGCCCAGTGCAAGTCAAAGGAAAGTCGCTCAAGAACTGCTGGCTCAGGGCATCAAATTGGGCAAACTGGCGGAGGATTATCAACTGATAGATGAACTGAAATAGAAAAAAAAAAAACTGTACAAACACCCTCGCATTTGCCAGTGCCATAGAGCAGGGTATTCATTCCGTGTGGTCAACCAAATATTATTTTAAATTTATTTATAAATATTTTACGTTTGCTGCGCATATCTCGATAAATTAAAACTTTTCTTTAGATATAAATATGCCTTTATTAAATTTTTTTAACAGCTTTGCGACATTTAAATTAATTTTGAAAGCACATGGCCAATTATGTAAAATTCTTGTTCTTCCAACTTAACTATGTACAAATATATATGATGCGGCTTCACTAGATGACACTTTGTGCTTACAACAATTGGCTAAATGAAACTCGTAATTTGGAACTTTGAACATGGCTACTACATAAACTTAGTTAATTATGCTACAGAGATAACGACAGATTCTGGCATATCACATATGAATTATTGATCCATTAATGATCCAAGATGCGCATATTGCCAGACACAATTTTGTTCTCCAGTATGGCGCCAGCGGGTATATCGATACGATCACCATGATTGGCAATAATAATCACAGTGCCCTGCAAAGCAAACGGAGAAATGGAGTGAGAAGGAGTCGATGCTTGAAGCTAAATGTCTGATAACTTACGCGCAAGGAGACGCCGCGACCAAAGGTCACATCGCCGCTGACCGTCAAATGATCCAGTTCAATAATATCGGGTATATTGGCGAAGCGACCCAAGAACTCCTTGACTTTGGAGAAATGATTCTCACCCAGTTTCACAAGCGGCGTGGTGGGGAACATGCGCTGTGGCGACATCACCAGGCTGCCATTCTTAAGCGTATACAAATTCGACATGACGAGCAACAGATCAGACGATTTCTTCACGGGCAAGAAACGTGAACGGGGCACATTGATGCCGATGGCGCCATCGAAACACTTCATGGCTGCACCCACCGCCGTCTCCAATTGAATGACGCGCAGACCATTCTCCAGTGTCTTGTTGTTTACAATAATCTCCATGTTGAGCGTGCGTTCGCGCAGCACACGGTCGATAGCTAAAGAAAAGAAGCAGCATTTTAGGCACTATTTTGGGTGAACAGCTTAAAGGTAGGCTACTGTACACACTTACCTGACAGATTAGCCCAAATGTTGTTGGTATTGAAAAACTTAAAGGTCTTGACAGACTTGAAGTCATCCACATGCTCTGGGGGCACCTGGGCGATTTCCAGCAGGCGCAACTTGTTCTCCATTTGTATAAGCGTGCCACCCTACAAAGGAGAGAATATGTATTCACAAACAAAACAGTTTTGCTGCACTGGAGCTACCTTGACATCAGCACGGGTCTTGTCGGTGACCTCCATGACGAACTCGAAGGGCGTGCTGGCGCGTTCCTCGCCCACCAGCTTGTTGAGTATGTTCAGATCGACGGTGGCGCCTAGATTGTCAATGTTGGAGAGGAAACAGTATTCCCGGCCCTCGCCAATGAACTTCTTCAGCAGGCCCGAGTTGCGGAAGGTATCGTAGAAGTCACCGTGACCAGGTGGATACCAGCTAAGAGTGGAAGGCATTAGAGAGCAGCAAATTTGGTCAATAATATACTCACGCCTCCATGTCCTTTTCCACATCGAAATCCTTGGCAACCGGCAGGAAATGCTCGCGACTGATGCGTGGAAAGCAGCTCTGGTTGAAGGTGTGTATCTGCACTCGGAAACCCTTGTACTTGCGCACAATCTTCTCCGTGTCTTCATCCGTATTGAAGGAGTTCATCAGCACCAGCGGCACATTGGCATCGTATGTCTTATTCAGATGCTCGATTTGCTGCACCGTCAGATCCAAGAATGTCAAATCGGATCGCACCGGTATAACACTCTTCGGTCCATGGCAACCCATGGAGGTGCCCAGTCCACCATTCAGCTTAATGACCACCAGTTTGTCCAACATATTGCGAATCTGCATTATGCATTAGTTTCAAAACATTAATTGGAGCTCTTTAACATATATCTGTTGGGTTAGCACAAAAGGATTTGTTAAGCTGCATTTGGAATTAAGTACATCGCTAGTGCTAAAAGAACCAAAGCAACAACTAGTTAAACAAACAACTAAATAAGCGTTCCAATAGCCCATATAGATTAAGTATTGAGCAGAGAGCGAGAACACGTGAGTTCAACACGTAAGCGCCAGAGAGAAGCGTAGAAGTTGAGTAAAGAAAACGCTTTTACCTCATTCTATTCATGATATGTATATATAGGCAGACATTAGCCATAGGACAGCCATTGCAACAATAACAACGGCAGCAATGAGTACAATTCAGTGTTCAAATCAAAGTACACGAAATATGAAAAGATTAAAAAAATATAT